CAGAGATAAGAGGGAGACCAGAGATAAGAGGAGGAGCAGAGATGAGAAGGGAACTAGAATAAGAGGGGGAGCAGGGAGAAGAGAGGGAGCAGGGAGAAGAAAAGGAGCAGGGATAAGATGGGGAGCAGGATAAGAGGAGGAGCAGAGACAAGAGGGGGGACCAGGATATGAGGAAGAGCAAGGATAAGAGGAGGAACGAGGATAAGATGGGGAGCAGGGATGAGAGGGGAACCAGGATAAGAGGGGGAACAGGAATGAGAGGGGGGACCAGGGATAATAGGAGGAGCAGGCATAAGAGGGGAACCAGGGATGAGAAGAGGAGCAGGGATAAGAGGAAGACCAGGGATAAGAGGAGGAGAAGGGATAAGATGGGGAGCAGGGTTAAGAGGGGGATCTGGATAAGAGGAGCAGCAGGGATAGAGGAGCAGCAGGGATAAGAGGGGCTCCAGGGATGTGGGCCTAGTTTGGCCCAGGGCAGAGCTGTGAGCCTCTGTCTGCACAGGAGAGTCTCTATCAGTGTACAAAAGTCTCCATCTACACATAAAACTCTCCAGCTGCAGATAAAAGTCTGTATCTGTGAATAAAAGCCATTCCAGCCATCCCAGAGACCTCACAAGGGAGTAAACTCCTTCCCAGTCCCGTGTGGGAGAAATCCCCATTCCCAGCTCCTGGCCTGGAGGGAAAGTCCTGGATCAGCTGCAGGGATCCCCCACCCCCTCCTGCAGCTCCTGCTCAGCTCCCAGAGCAGCTGAGGTGGCACAATTGGTGTCACAAGTGGTGTCACAGCCCCCAGTGTGGCTGTTGGCAGCTGCTGGCAGAGCCAGGGAGGCTGGGACACGGCTGGGGCCAAAGGCTGGATTGTTCCAGCATCCTCGTGGCCATTCCTGGGCAAACCAGCAGTTTTCCCAACACCCAGAAGCTCCCTGGAGCTGCTGCTAGGCTGCAGCAAAGGACAGAGCCCTGGCTGTGCCCAGGAAATGGCTGCAGGTTTGGAAATGGGGCTGGAGCCTGGGAAGTGACCCTGGGGGTGGCCAAGTGCTCACTCAGCACAGCTCCAGCCAGAGAAAACACTGGGATTATGGGATTTGGGGACTCCCGAGCTCTTGCCCTGCTCCATCCTTTGCTGCCTGTTCTGTCCAGCTGCCGGGATGGGAAGCCTGGGAAGGGGAAGGAGTGAGAACCTCCCCTGCTGTGTCTGTGCTGCACATTCTGATGGTTTCTCAGCCCTTCCCCTGAGGAACAGGACAAATCCCCCCAGGTGCCTCTGGGCATCATCTGGAATTTTCTGCTCTTGCAATGAATTGGGGGGGTGAGGCCTAAATGGGGTGGGATGGGGTATTTGGGGTTTAGGGGTTGTGATGGGGTATTTGGGGTTTAGGGGTGGGATGGGGTGTTTGGGGTTTAGGGGTGGGATGGGGTGTTTGGGGTTTAGGGGTATCTGGGGTGTNTTAGGGGTGATTTTGGGATTGGAGGCTGGTTTGGGGTTGGTTTGGGGATTGGGCTGGTTTAGGGGTGATGGATGCACAGCTCGAACCCCGTTGGACCGGACCTGTGGCCGTTTTACCCCCCTGTGCCCCCCACATCCCGGGTGCCAGGGGGCTCTGTGAGCTCTTCGTGCTGTCCCACCCCTGTCCCCACCTGGCAGCACCTCCTGCCCGGCCCGGGGGCTCGGGATTTTGGGGATTTTGGGGATTTTGGGGCTCTCCAATGCTCTCAGACCGAGGAGGGGGGTTGTGGATCCTCTGCCAGCTCATGCACCATCGCCATGGCAACGCTCTGGATGCAGCTCCATCCCTCTGGATCTCCTTGGATATTGGGGGGGTGGGGAGGGGGCTCGCAGGATCTCGGCCCCCTGAATCCCAGGGACAGGGAAGGACAGGGAAGGGCAGGGAAGGGCAGTCCCTGGGGCTGCCAGGGAAGGTGGCACAGCCGATCTGCCTGTGGGACTCATCCCAGCCCGGCCCTGCTGGGTTTTCAGGGCCCGTGGCCCCTTCAGCTGGATTCCTCCTCACTCTGCTCTGTTAATGCGCCCCTTGTTTTGGGGTTCATTGCCTCTGCAGCCCCCCCGAGCTGTGGAGCTGCTGCTCTGGGGCTGAGCCGGCTCCTCCACAGCAGCAGAGTTATCCTGGCACTTTATCCACCCCAGCCCAGCTGGCAGGTTAAAGGGATCAGGTTCCCAAGGAGAGGAGAGCGCTCAGGTGGCCCCAGGTTGGCTCCTTGCTGCAGTCCCGGCTCCTTGGAACGCTGGGAAGCAGCACAGCTGAGCCTCCACTCGGGCACAGGGGAGAAAATTCTGGAGGGCCAAGCCAGAGCATTCCTGGGAGCAGCTGATCCCAAATGGGGTAAATGGGAATGAAGAGTTCAGGATTTTCTGCCCAGGAGCTGAAAGCTCTTTTTAAGGAGCAATGTGGGAAGTTTGATGAGAAGCAGAGAATTCCTTGGATGTTTTTGGTGTCACATTGAGCCCGAGGCACCGCGGGGGCTCCGGGTCCACCTCAGACCTCCCTGCCTGGAACTTCTCATCCCAACAAGCACCTCTGGAGCTTTCCCATCTCCCCTCAGCCATGGATGCCATTCCTGGGGTGCAGGGATGGGCCCAGCCCCAGGAATGGCTGGGGGGGATCCCAGTTCGCATGGATCCCAGTTTGCATGGATCCCAGTTTGCATGGCTCCCAGTTCCCGTGGCTCCCAGATCCTGGGGCTCCCAGTTCCTTTAGCTCCCAGATCCTGTGGCTCCCAGTTCCTGGGCCTCCCAATTCCAGTGTCCCCCAATTCCGGTGTCTCCCACTTCCCGTGGCTCCCAGTTCCCATGGCTCCCAGTTCCTGACCCCTTTTCCAGAGCCCATCCATGCCAGTTTCTCATCCAGGGCAGTTTCTGGCATGCTTTTACTCATCTCTCTCTCTCTGTTTGCCCCTCTCTGTGCAGCTCTCCGTGAACAGCAAGCCCCCCAGCTCTGAGGGGCAGGGGGACAAGAAGGACAATGCCACAGCCCCCCCGGCGCCCCCGTCCTACGAGGAGGCCNCATCCCATCCCATCCCATCCCATCCCATCCCATCCCATCCCATCCCATCCCATCCCATCCCATCCCATCCCATCCCATCATCCTCCTCATCACCTCAACTCTGTACACTCTCCATCCCTAAGCCCATCGCTGCATCCCCCAATCCCAACCCTCTCTCCATTCCAACCCTCTCTCCATCCCAACTCTGGCTCCATCCCGACCTTCTCTCCATCCTGACCCTTCCTTCATTGCCCCATCCTGACCATCTCTCCATCCTGACCTTCTCTCCATCTCCTGCATCCCAATCTCTCTCCATCCCCCCCATCCCAACCCTTTCTCCATCCTCCCCATCCCAACCCTCTCTCCATCTCCTGCATCCCAACCTCTCTCCATCTCCTGCATCCCAACCCTCTCTCCATCCCCCCCATCCCAACCCTCTTTCCATCCTTCCCATCCCAACCTTCTCTCCTTTCCAACCCTCACTCCCCCCATCCCAACACTCTCTCCATCCCTCCCATCCCGATCCTTTCTCCATTCCAACCCTCTCGCCATCCCAACCCTCTCCCCATCCCAAGCCTCTCTCCATTCCTTCCCTCTCTCTCCATCCCTCCCATCCCGACCCTCTCTCTCCATCCCCCCATCCATCCCAACCCTCTCTCCATCCTTCCCATCCTGACCTTGTCTCCATCTCAACCCTCTCTCCATTGCCCCATCCCGACCCTCTCCCCATCCCAATCCTCTCTCCATCCCTCCCATCCTGGTCCTTTCTCCATCCCAACGCTCCCTCCATTCCCCCATCCCGACCCTCTCTTCATCCCTCTCCCATCCTGATCCTCTCTCCATCCCATCCCTCTCCCCATCCCTTTCCATCCCTCCCTGTCTCCCCTCCCGTCTCCCCTGCTCTCCGGGCTGGCAGTGGTACATCCCTCCCTCCCTG